CCAGCAGCTGCCTGGTGCCTGCCTCTAGGGCTGCAGTCCTCTACTGCTCCGCAGAGGAGAGGAAATCGGAACTCGCAGAACCCTTCTCCTGCAAGAGCTTCGTATTGGCCAGCTGCAAACCCAGCGCTGGGCAGGGCCAGTGCTAACAGATTCTCTGCTGTTTGATGCCTCATATCCTCCTTCTAACTGTAGGCGAACAAAGGGATCTAAAGTCCACTGTGTCACCTCCCGTGGCACCCTCCAGGGGAAGACGCTGTTTACAAAGAACAGGGAACCCTCACCCACCTCACAGATGCAGAGAAATGAGCCTTCCGCTTCACATACTGGGAAGCAACCACCTAAGCTAGTTAGTGTTACGAGAATCGAGCCCCATTCTGACCTGAGACCGCATTAACTGGTATCTGGCACGCTCCTTCTGGTTTTGCTTTTTGGCAGGCAAGGCAGATACTGTCACTCCTCTGTGCAAAACTCCTCAAGTGGCTTCCGTTTCACTCAGAAGAAAGCTACAGCCCTACAAGGCTCCTGCAGCTCCCTCCCCGCTCCAGCTGCACTGGCCTCCTTCCGGCTCTTGGAATTTACCTATATCCCTCTCAGGGCCTTCCTGCTCACTTGGCCCTCAGCTCTTCACTCTCTCACTTCAGGTCACTGCTAAGATTTCGCCTATTCAGAGAGATCTTCCTTCCTCACTTGTATGAAATAATACCCCGCCCTGCACGCCACTTCATCCATCGTTATTCCAGAACCCCACGTTTCTTCTTCATAGCACTTGAAAGCAGCAGATTTTTTTGTATCAGCAGATCATTTATTTGTTGACTTTCTGGCTCCTTCCGCTGGAATGTAAGTTCCATGAGAGCAGGGCTGTTTTGTTCATTCTTTATCCCCACTTTCCAGGCACACAGGAATACTCAGTACAAATATTTGTCAAACGAATAAACAAATGATGAATGCATGAGCTATTCTCAAGCTTCCATAAATGGTACATGACTACCAGCCCCGAGCAAATAAGGAGGTGGTGCTTGGCAAAAAGTGAAGCCCCCATCCTCTGTTACGCTGTTCAGAAAGAGGGTTAAACGTTGAGCCTAAGAGTCACACAAACCAACTATCCCCTCCCCTCCCCATTTACCAGGACTCCAGCGTTTCAAAGGACGATGCGCATAATCAGAATTCCACCCGTCTGTCCGCCAGGCCTTTTCTATTCTTCAGTTTAAAAAACAGATCTTTGAACTCCTTCCCAGCATGAAAGACCTTTCTAGCTATCAAACAGGCCAAATGAACCCAATTTTCTGGTGACTGAGCACCCTAAAACATTTCATTTGGCACTTGCTAATGTTAAGGTAGACCAAGTTCTTCCTTGTTTGGGCAAAACAGCCTTTTCAGAGAATAGACAAAATACCTGACTCCTACTTGTTGAGCCAACTGTTTACATTTTCCCTGAAGGACACTTTGATTTGTAAGAACTGGCAAATAATTTAGAAATCAAAGCATGTTACTTGTCTTGTCCATTTCTGAGCCCCACCAAAGAGAGAATTCATCCTCCTTCTCTAAACCAGGGAGGCAGCGGCTTTCACATGACACAATGCTGCAATAATGCTGAAGGGAGCTGTCCAGGTTTGCTTTCCATTCTATTGTCTTATTCTGTCTGCTCCCTCGTCTCCCAGAATCCAGGCTTAATAATTTACAGCGGAAAGACATTTAATAAATAAACGGCCAGATTGGAGCTGTCAGCACCACACAATGGAGCTGTTTGCATCAGCACCCGCTCTCCCAGCTTGCTTCAGCTAAAACAATCCCGTTTGCTATTTTCATAAAATTAGTTCCTCTGCAGTTTCTATTAATCAGAACGTTTTCTGGTGACAATTATGCTGGGATTTCATCACCATCTGACTTCAACCGCTTTGTGAATCTGATGAATTTTTATCACCTTTATGAGTGGCAGAGAAGGTAAAAAAAAGAAAACTTAGGTGGGCTGATGTGTGTGGGCAAAGAGCTCTTCCCGCATATCAGCTGAGGTCTTCCCATAGAACCCAGATCAGTCTCCCACACCACACCTCTGAGCAGCAGTCTCCCCCAAACACATCTTTTATATATCGATCGTTCCACATCTTCTTGAGGTCATGGCCTCTTAAAAATCTTAGGAAAGCTATGGATACCCTCCCCAGAAAAACCCACATATGGGTATATACACTAAACTCACCAGTGGGTTTGTGGACCCTCCCTCTCCCCTCTCCACACACATGGCCCATCGCTGGACTCCAGAGTGAAATCTGCATCCTATGCCTTTCTAACCATCCTCACTTCCCCTAAGAACCTTAAACCGGAACAGAAAATCAGCCACCTCTGAATTCCTTTGCTGAAGGAGACAGATTTGGTAAAAGAGAGAAGGTGAATAAAAGTTAGTAAGTTTTTCATGATGGCCATACACCTTTTGAGAAATGAGAAAAATGGGCAATAGAAAACAACTCATATTGGCTGAAATCATGTTGTAAAGTGAAAGTGGCCATAGACAACATGCTAATGAACAAGCATGCTGGTGCTTCAGAAAAACTTGACTTATGGACACCGAGATTTGAATTTCATGTAATTTCATATTTTTATTTTTCCCCAACCATTTAAATATGTAAAAATCATTCTTGGCTTGCAGGGCATACATAAAATAGATGGCAGGCCGGATTGGGCCCACACACCATAGTTTGCTGACCCCTGTTCTATAGCATAAGGTGAACATTATAATCTAGAAAACCATGGTGGTAATTCTGGGTGACCTGGAAAATCAGTAACTACTGACAATATGACTGGGGGCAGGAGGGAGAGAGGATTTCTGTTTACTCAGTTTCCCAATTTAGCAGAATAATGGCAGCTTTTGAGTCTCAGCTAAATACCAACAATTACTAAGTTTTAGGAACATTTTCAGAATGTACCTGCAGAAATGCAAAAATAATCACATAAGAAAATGTATACCAAAAATTCAGGGCTCCCTGTCAGAAAAAGTTATGACAACCATAAAATGAACAAGAAAACTCTATCTTCTCTGCAATCATTTCTTGTACTCCATTACCCTAATAACCTCATTTTTTAAAAAATATATTTCTTTATTGATTTCAGAGAGGAAGGGTGAAGGAGAGAGAGATAGAAACATCAATGAGGAGAGAGAATCATTGATCAGCTGTCTCCTGCACACCCCCGACTGGGGATCGAGCCTGCAACCCAGGCATGTGCCCTTGGCCGAAATCGAACCCGGGACCCTTCAGTCCACAGGCTGACGCTCTATCCACTGAGCCAAGCAGGCTAGGGCCATAACCTCCTTTTTGTTACCCTACCTCTCTACCAGACAGCACAACAATGACTTTACACATTTGAGAGAGAGGAAATTAGATAGTGGTGTTTATAGTTATCGTTGCTTGGATTTTTTTGTTTAAGAGAAAATTGTAATTAAACAAATGTACACCTAAATGGCACCTATGTGCACTGAACAGGTAGTACACTGTGAGTGATACATACATGGCAGGGATGTGGAGCAATGTGGAGAGGCACCGTGTAACACAGCGTACAGGAGACAATTTTTTAAAAGAGAAAGACTGGATAGTCAAATAATAAATTTTCTTTAGAGTGAACTCTGATTAAGAGATGGCAAAAGATGGATTGGTATGGTGACAGCACTTCTTTCAATTTAAATGTGAGGGTAGGATAGCATTATCGAATCAGAAAACTAACACCTCTTCCTGGTTAAGGAGTGAGTTAAAGGTGGGGTTTGAGGGGAGGATACCTTCTTATAGGAGAGAAAACCCAAAATGTTACATCTAGTCAGGAAGTTGTAAGAAGTTTGGAGTGCCTCCTCACTCATGCCCTATTTTTTAAATTATTATTTTATTTTTTATTGATTTCTGAGAGGGAGAGGGAGAGAAAGAAAGAAACACCGATGATGAGAGAGAATCATTGATTGGCTGCCTCCTGCATGTCCCACACCAGGATCGAGCCTGAAACCTGATCATATGCCCTGACTGACGGGGAATTGAACCGTGACCAACCTGGTTCATAGGTCGATGCTCAACCACTGAGCCACACCGCTGGGCTCATGCCCTATTCTTAATTTATAATTTAACATAAGTCAGTTTGATCATTAGAAATTATTAACTATCCCACACTCTAATGTTGAACACTTTCCCCAAAAACATTAAGGGCTCAGAACTGGTCCTGACCGGTTGGTCCACACAATGTTATTTTCTATTATCTGTCTCCACTCTGGCTTGGACCAGTTTCCACATTATTTCCCACATACTCAGTGCTCATTCTTGTCTCGGCCTCTTGCTCAAACTACTTTCTCTCCCTGGATTCCCTTCATCTCTGTTTCACCTTTCCCATTTCTACCCAAATGCCAGGGCACAGCATTAGTTCTGCCTATACCATGAAGAGCCACAATAACTCTGACCAAAACAATATTTCACCTAAATAATACAAGTGAAGAAGTGCTCTGAAAACTACTAAATGCTCTGTAAATATGAAGCCTTACTATTATCTGGAGCCATTGACTATAAGTCTGGCCCATTGTTATATCTTGCTTTAAAGCATCTTCCAATTGCTTCATTAGCAAACCACGAGCTATTGAGGCAGGAGTGACATGGTATTTCTTTTGTACAGTTAACACTCAATTCCAAGCAAATGAATTAATCAAAATAATGGCTTTCTTAACCACAGAGCTCCTCATTGGTCCACGGAAGGTCAAGTTGTTAAACACATCAGAAATCAGTGGTTGTGCATATGACTGGAAATGAAACTTTGAAAGTAGAATACTCAGAGGGAAGGCAGGGGAGGGTGGGTGGAAAGAGATCAATCAATATGCATAACCCATGGGCACAGACTATTGTGAAGGCCTGGAGTGGGGGGGAGGGAATGGGGCCGGGGCGGGCAGGAAGAGG